GGTCAGTCGCACTTTTAAACACATTTTAGTTTTGCTATTGAAAATCTACAAACTCCTACTCTAATTACATAGAGCAGCAGCAAGAAGCGCGTGAGGTTGTCATGGCAACCAGATACACTGCAAGCGAATTACTATTTATTTATTTTGCCACCGTTTGCCACACTAAACTTAGCAATAAACACGTTGAAAATAATACACAATAAACATGTCTTTCAAAACGATCTCAAATTAGGCTTTTATTAAGCAAATTAAGGAGTGAATTACTCATCCACTGTTTAATATTATTATTACATATAACTATTAATATAACTGATTAAGTAGTCAAACTCATTCCATATCAGCAGAATAGTGTGGTACAGAAAGTCTATTTCCATAAAACAGGTTCTGAATGAATTATGTTACTGATACCTAATGGTCAAAAGCAATAGCAAAAGTAATAGGTCAATATTAATAAATTGCATACAAAGATTTTGAATAGCTAGGTTGGCTTGTACACTATATTAACAAAAGTATTGGGACACCCCCTTATGAACAGGTTTAACTACTTTAGTAATTTCAAATTTTTAGCAAAAAAAAAAAAAAACATATGAGGGATTCTATAATTGCAGGTACATTTGGTGTCCGAAGTCATCATTTTTTTCTGCTTTTTTCAAATTGTTATATTTTTAATTATTTTAATACTGTCTTACTCATTGTTATGAATTACAAGATGTTACAGTCCATAACAATATAATTTTTTTGCAAAAAATGTCTTAAATAGCTGAAAATCATGATTTCTTGTTGTCCGAATTAGTCAGTGCATTTTTTCCATCATGTATCATTGTGTAATCAAAATATTTTATTGTACTTTTCTTTTTGTAATATTTCACTCATTTTATTTATAAAAGCCCTCAAGAGTAATTTTCCTAATTCTATTTTTTATTTTAACTTTTTTTCTTATAATAATGTGTGTCCGTAAATCTTGCGTCAACTCTGTTACCGTACCATACTTTGTCTTTAAATTAGTGGAATTATCTCCCACAACTATGTAAAATACAGGAAATGATGTCACTTTCCCTCACTGTTAAGATCTGAAGCACTGAAAAGTCTATGCGCTCTCTCTAAGAAAATATTTTAATCTAAAAAGTTCTTACATCAAGAGTTATTTTATAAAGTGTCAAATCTGTTACCACGATATCAAAAGGAACAGATTTTTTTCATTGATCACACTTTGTGTTATTTAAAAGTATCTGAATCATGATTTCATTAGTGCCATGTGCTCTTAGCATTTATGCTAGCAAGTAGAGTTTTTGGCAAAAATGTAAGAAAATGGTCAATTCTGTTACTGTCAAACTCTGATTTCAAGGTAGAGTGACAATGCTGACAATGCGGTAACAGAGTTGACAGTCCATCGGACAATTCTGTAAATTATGTTACTTTACAGTTCTATTACTTAAAGGGTCAACTCTGTTTATGAACTATTTTCACAAAAAAACAATTAAATTGTTTAAAATTTAATAAACATTATTTATTTATTTATTAATTATAAAATGTATTTTGCACCCTTATAATATTTCAACAACATTTCTTTTTTTAACTGGATATTGTATACTATATAATACATTTTCAGATAAGAAAAATATTTGCTATATATATATATATACAGTATATATATCTCAATAAGATACTGAAAAAAAAACTATTAGTGAAAAGGGTTTTTTCTTAACTTTCTGCAATGCCAAATGTATCTCCAATTATGGAATCACCCATATAATGCTATTTGTTTGCTAATTAGAATTGTGTGCTTCTAATTTTATACCAGTAGTTCGAACAATTAACATGAGATATAATTTGTTTTGGGTAAATCTAATGGGCTGTCTTTGGTCTCATTAATCAATTATTTGTTCCACAGCAAATCATTTTGGCTGAGCGCAAAATCTATTTTATGTTACTTTAATGCTGTATGTCAGAGCAAATTGCTTAGGAACTTTTATGATGGCTGTTGTTGTTTATTAAATATTATTATTCAATAAAAAATATTTTAGATAAATAATAGTAGTATTTAATTATAGTATTTAGTATTGGAAAATGTGTGTGTGTGTTTGTGATGTCGATTTTAGTTACATTCTTCTGCCTTTAGATGGAAACAAGATACTTTTTTTGGAGTCAGCAGTAATGACTTTTATATTGAAAGAGACTGAGACAGGGTTGTAAGCAAGGAAGTTATTTTTACTTTCAACTACAGCTTGTAAGATGCAGCCAAAAAATGCACTGAGCAGCGCTGTCATCAGAAATCCCCCTTAGCAGATGAAAGGATAGTACGACAAAGATATCTCTTTCCTCAGCCGACAATGAAACTGTTTTATTGTGAATATGATATTGATCTGAAGAATGAATGCTGTATCAGATGCAGGTGATCACACTCGTTAAGTCCATCTCTCTCTCACAATACTCTACTCTACATAATACAGTGAGCTTTTAATGCAGTAATACAATAAGCTTTCAATGAAGCAGCTCAATGTTCCTTCGTTACTTGGGCTCAGCTCTTAAACTGACAACTTAAGATTTGAATCAGTGGTGGAAGGAAGTAGCTCTGCACAAAACAGTTGTAGCGTCTGGAACACTCCAACACACAATATATATTTTGTTAGCTAGATTTCACAAATACTTTTTAAAGACACTCAGTTGTTGTTTCTTGTGTATTTACACACTCGTGCCATCAAACTGTTGCATAAACGCAGTATAGGGACCAACTCTCACTATTAACTAGTTGCATAATAGCATGCCTTTTATTAACATATTGGCTGTTTATTAGTACTTATAAAGCACATATTCTGCATGACTATATTCTACATCCCTAATCCTACCCAATACCTAAACTTAACAATTACCTTACTAACTATTAATAAGCAGCAAATTAGGAGTTTATTGAGGCAAAAGTCATAGTTAATGGTTTGTTAAAAGCAAGGCAAGAATTGGACCTTAAAATAAAGTGTGACCTAATTAATAAACTAAGAAAAAGAGCACAATATCTTAAGAGCCCAAGTTTGTGTTACTTGTCCAGATGGAGACGAAAGACTTGTCAATGTAAAGAACATGTAAGAGTAGTCACAGAAAGACTGACAATCCCTTTGAGGAGCTACAGAGTTCAAGAAGAAAATGTTCACCAGTCAGCCATATAAAGAGCTCTTCATAACACCTGTATGGAAGGATGCCACAAAAGAAGCCACTCAAAAAGAGCCCTGTGGAAACATGCCTGTAGTTTGCTGCTATAGTGACCCAGGTGCAATGTGGATAGTCATACGATTGATATTATATATTTGTGCGTGTGTGTGTGTGTGTGTGTGTGTGTGTCATAAATAGGCAAGCAATTATTAATAATTAAATATGTTTACCTTCAGATTCCTGGGAAAAACAGTCTCATCCTTTCACGCAGAAAGAATATGGGAAACGGGAACTATACCTCTCT